ATATATATATATATATATATATATCTATGTGTGTGTGTGTTGAAACGTGAATTGTTTTTCACAAACACATGTCTTCAGAGTTAAAGCCGAGAGGAGTTTGAGAGAGTAGAGCGAATAGGTTCTAGAGAGAGAGAAGTAGGCAGAAAAGTCCTTTTATTCATGGCCGGACCGCATATTTATAGGAGCCCGTTTATAAATTTTATAGAAAAAATGGAACATTTATGGAAAGCAGTCTATAATACAAAATACGTATTGATTTAATGTTGGATTAGAATTACAATTTGAATACAAGACAACGGTTGTAAGCAGGTTGATGTATGGAGCTCCGACGGCAAGCCCAACGATCAAGTGTCAGTTGCTTCTGCCGATCTGGATCGGCCGGTTGGCCTCGGTCGCTCCTATTGAGATGGAATAGTTGGATTGTTTCAGGCAAGCGACCCGGTGAGTGGCCTCTGGCTGCTGGTATTGCAAACGAGATCTGCCAACTGAATTTGTCGACATTGTTTGTCGGCCAGCTAGAACGAGCGATCACACTCCGGGGATTCGCTGCCTCAAATGTCAAGCCCTAGTCCTTGGTCGCCCAATTATGTTGGAGTTCATGCTGATAATTTTGGTGTATGCATATTAATTCTGCGAGTTTTTGTGCTCCTTAAAGGTGCCAACTATGATAAGGAAAGAGAAACAATTAAACAACCAGTGGCACCTAAATTAAAAGAATTGATTGAGTAATTGACTTCCCCTTGGGTTCTACGCTTGGTGCGCCTATAAATAAGGTCGTGGGCTTAGCATGGTGTTCTTTGTTATCAACGATCCTCAGACAATTTGAGGGTACGAGTCGGAGCGGGGTGAATCCTGAAAACCTGGCTTTGGAGGGCTATGGGTTCTCCGCCTCTTTAAAGAAGAAGGAGATCTTAAAAAAAGATAAGCTACAAAACTAAAACCTATATTGGTTGATCTAGTTGACTCGTCTGTCGCTGCAGAGGGATCGTTGATCCTAACTTTCTTTATAGATGTAAAATACGATGTATGAGATTATATATTTAATTTCCTTAGTAGTGACTCTTAATTTGCAACAGCGCCAAAAACTTAATCCCAAACAAATGTTATGTGAGTTTTTCACTATGAAGCAAATAAGAATAAAGTTATAATATTTAAATATGGGATACTACGCAAGTGTACGTATCGTTATTAAGTAATATAACAATTTTTTATTAAGCCCCGAATATAAAGCTAGAAAGTTTAGATAACAAAAATCTATTTAGCAAAATATTCTTACATAAATTTAAGGTGTTATAATAGGAATGAAATTTTGTTTCTTTTTGTAATTTTTTATTTATTTATGAACATTTAAAAATACAAAGAGCTTCTTGTTTGGAATGCAGAGTATATTTTTTGAGAATTATTATTATTAATATTATTATTTCATCATTTTGTCTTTCACTAAAGAGGTTGATAGATGTATTTTTTGATTGAGACTGACATAAAAAAAAATTAATGTTTCACATTAATACATTATTACTTATATTTAACATAAATACAATAAAAAATGAGTGAAGTCTTTGTGGCAGTATGATAGTATTTTAATTGTATTTGAGAAGCTTATGCCCTACTATATAGAAGGTTTTGTTTCCTACTGCATACTATATATATAAAGTTAAAAGAATTAATTCTGAAAAGTTTAAAATATGACTCTTGTACATTGAATCTAATATGTCGTTACCCAATCAATGATGAATTTATCCAAGTCCTTGTGGCAGTACGATAGTATTTTAATTGTATTTGAGGAGCTTATGCCCCAGTATATAGAAGGTTTTGTTTCCCGCTGCATACTATATATATAAAGTTAAGAGAATTAATTCTGAAAAGTTTGAAATATGACTCCTGTACATTGAACCTAATATGTCGTTACCCAATCAATGATGAATTTATCGCAACTTTTGTCGACGATGATGAGATGACTGCAATTATTTTAGTGGAGGGTTTACAGAAAGTTCCAATAATTTATGTAGAGAATGTTCCTACTCAGAAATAAGATCATATTGTTGATCAAATAATATCAAAACTGTCCACAAACATATTTATAGAATATGTTGTCATGGATAGGTATGTAGTACCATTTATATTATTTTTAAATGGTGGGTTATTAAAATTTAATTAAAGATTGTTACTAAAATTACTATTCTATTAACTAAATTTTTTTATTTATGATTACTTCAAGGGTGAAGAGCTCAACCCAAAATTTTCAAGCAACTTTGGAATAATAGATACAATCCCTCATGTTATTAAAGGATATGAAATAATGAATAGTACTTCAAGTGTTGATTACACTAGTATTGATAATGAATCTGACACTAAAGGCAATGGTGAGCAAGATTATACATATTTGCAAGGGCATGAACTTATATAGGAGCATGCATTTTTAAATAATGATTTAACATATCAAAAGACTAATAACAATGAGTACATACAATACATTGAAGTTGCACAAGAGTGGGATGCGTATGTAAATTTTGCTGGCTTGAGTGAGCACATCACATCTACTCAGAAAGAATTTATACCTTATGAAATATTTGAAGATATGTTTTCTTAAATATATTTTTATTTTCAATATGATATCAATGACTAGTCAATAATTAATAATGTGGAGTACAAGACTGTCTACTCCAGCAATGATCAACTAACTGTCATTTGTTTTCCACATTATTAACCCATTAGGTCATGTCATAGACGCCTTTATGCATATATCAAGAAGTGACTTTGTGGTTCTTGGAAGATTTCAAGTACATCAACACAAAATAGTCTAACCAATCCAAGCTTTATGTCTAAACAAAGATAATATATCTCAAAGTTTATAACACTATTTATTCTTTCATTCATCTAACAATAAATAATCTGAAGCCAAAGGAGAGTATTGGAAATGTTGAATTCAAGTTCAACATCAAAATATCATACGTTAAAGCATGGGATGCTCGGATGAAGGCTATTAGGGCAATATTTGGAAATTGAGAAGTCGTATCATTCACTATACAGATTTATGGAAGCAATTTATTCTGCAATGGGAAGCTCTGATTATAATGTTTAGGTTGGTTCAACCAATCGTTTATTAACATTTTTTTGGGCTTTTGGCCCCTTAGTTGAAGGATGAAACCACTGCCGACTAGTTTCTCTGTATGGATGGAACATTCTTACTAGATAAATTTTGTGTTGCTTTATTCATAACAGTTGGCATCGATGATAATAATGGTATATTTCCATTAGCATTTGTTGTTATTGAGTTGGAATGCAATGACTCATAGTAGTGATTTATAAACACATTGTATAAGACAATTCTGTTAGTGTCTTTGAGAAATAATTTATGTTTAATCTCATAATGATATGTTGGGATTATGAATTCTTGTCATGATATCTTTCAATGGGCAATAAATAGACATTGCCTTAGACATTTACATGAGGATTTTAAGAAGGCACTTCATATAATGGATATTTCAGTTGTTAAAATAATTTGTGAAGATATATTGAGTAGGTAGAGCCAATGACATAATTATAATATTTTTTTGTGTTTCATTGTTGTTGATATACAACCTTCATTTTGAGTTTATGGTTTACTATTTATGTACTCTACATCCAATATATAACAATACAAGTGAATGAGATATGCACTACAATGAAGGAAATTCGGACAACCTGTGTCCCATTGATCTGTTAGCAACAAGTTGAGTGAAACTTGCCTGAGCTCATAATGAAATAATTTGGTAAGATTAAAGGAATAAACATGAAGTCAAAAGAGCTAGGTTTCAAGCGTATAGATGGCTGAGAAAATTAATTTTTGGATTAAGCTGACATCCATCATTCTTATATAAATTTTGGGATAATAGACAATCTTTCATTATACACCATGAGAACATAGAAATTGTTATTGTTAAATCTCGTAGAGAATATCTACATCGGTATGGGCATTGAGCATCTTTGTGCTTATATTATGCTCCAATTGAGGCTCCAACGCCTATTATTCTAGAGGACCAGAGGAGAGGATATTATATGTACATTTTTTTGTTGAATAAATTTTTCTGTTTATTGCTCTAACTAATATTTATTTCTTCTGTCCGTTGACCTCATTTTTAGTTGAGATCTAGTTTTTCCTCTTTAGTAGCCTAGGGTCTAGCCATAGGATTTTCTTTTTGACTATTCCTAGAGAACTAGAAAAGGAACCTTCACCATTAGAAATTCCAAACTCTTCCATACTCAACTTGAAGTTCCACATGTTGGTCCTAACCTCTAGCACTTAGTAGGTGGGGTCAATATGAAAGAGCTCAAGGGGAGTCCCCCATAATATGGTCAGACCTTAGGACTAACCCTGAATGACCTTATTTTAATGGGCCTAACTTGCACACACTATACTCTCTCACATACCCCAAACCGTAGAATCCCTTAGTTTGGTCTCCTAACTCCTTCTGGAAAGCTCATATAGATGTACCTATACCCCTAGTCTTTGGCTAAGAGGGTTAGAACCAGCATATTGAGCATCAAAAATGAATCCTCACATGGTTTCTATTGATTTGGTATGACTTCATGGCTT